GTGAAGGGTGTTTTTTTTCCCCCCCCCCCCCCCCCCAGGGCTCTGCGCAGAAGAAATTCATGTCTGTGGAGAAGCCGCTGCTATCAACTTGGTGACAGAGCTGATGTACACAACGGGGGAGGAGGTGGAGGTGGGTGCCGCACCCCTTTACAAAGTACACGTCTTACAGGCTCCCTCTTAGCAATCCGAATGATAACTGGTGGTGTAAAACTGTGTGTCGTCTTTCAGGGATTGAAATCGGAATGTCTTAAAGTAAAACGCCTGCAAAGGTAGATGAAGGGTAGAATGTCTTCAACAGATCTTGTTGACATGGATTAAATGATACGGATTGATTTGCACTAAGTCCTGGCCACCTCTATAATTTAATTTTTTTAGCAATGCTAATGATGACCAGGGAATACAGAAATTGGAAAGAAAATCAAGGAACAATGAAGTTTTTTCCTGTAGATCTTAGTTCCTCCTTCCCTATGAAAACAAAAATCAGTTGAACTATTAATAGGTCTGTATTTGCAGTACAAAGCAATATCTTTAGAACAAGTAATTCTGACAAGCTTTCTGCCATATGAGGTGCACTGAAGTAAGTTAAACGGCTGTCTTGCCACGGAAAGGGACTGAGTGCCAAGACCACAAAAGGTTTACAAGTAGAATAAAATCTGTGGACTATTTACAGCCTCCCCCCCATTGCTGTATGACAAGCTGCATATAAAAGGCACGCATGTGTGTGTATGTCCCAGTCAGTTCACAGCAGAGACCTGCTGTGTGGGCTGCTTGCAGGGAGAATGGACCGGTTGCAGGCATGCGGGTCCTTATGGGCACCTCCAGGAACTCTCTTGTTCACTTCTCTCCTATGCATTATAATTCTCCTGTGGTTACAATTGTAAACTCTGCTGTCTGTCGTTAGGTGAGAAACTACAAGAGGCTTACCCCTATAAAGGTGCTGGATCAGGCCCTTGAATCTCTGGATAATCTTCGTCCCGGAGACTGCATTGTCTGTTTCAGCAAGAACGATATTTACTCCGTGAGCCGGCAGATTGAAGCACGCGGGCAGGAGTGTGCGGTCATCTATGGAAGCCTGCCGCCTGGTAAATATTACTGCCCGTTGTGGGGAAGTGGGGAGGGGATGGCGTCTCTTGCTTCTAGCCGTTGGCATACCTGACGAGTAATTTTGAAATGTACCTGCTTGGCATTTGGTTGTTGAATCAGGTACAGCATTAAGCAGACTTCCTTTGCTTAGTGGGTTGACTTTTCTTTTTGACTCGCAGATTTCTGTTTCCACATCTCATCCTTTGGTTAGATGGTTTTTACAGAATAGTAGATTCCATTAAAGGGGCTGTGGTGGCTCAAGTGGTTAAGACGCTGAGCTGCAGACCGGAAGATCAGTAGTTCAGCAGTTCAAGACCCGAATGCCGCATGACATAGTGAGAAGGTAACAGCGTTCCGTGCGCCTTGGCATCTAGTCATGCCGGCCACATGACCACGGAAATATCTTCAGACAGCGCTGGATATTCGGCTTGGAAACTGAGATGAGCACTGCATCCCTAGAGTCGAATTTGACTGGCTTTCGAGCAAGGAGAGCCAGTTTGGTGTAGCGGTTAAGTACGCAGACTCTAATCTGGTAGAACCGGGTTTGATTCCCCACTCCTCCACATGCACCTGGCTGGATGACCTTGGGCAAGCTGTAGTTCTGGCACAGCTGTTCTTGAAAAAGAGCAGTTTCTGTCAGAGCTCTCTCAGGCCCACCTACCTCACAGGGTGTCTGTTGTGGGGAGGGGAAGGGAAAGGAGTTTGTAAGCCGCTCTGAGACACCTTTGGGTTGTGAAGGGCCATGGGGTATAAATCCAATCTCTTCTCCTCTTCTTCTTCTTTACCTACTACCTAGATTCCATTAAGGATGCAGCTGAGCTTGGCGCTTTAATGCCTTCAAACAGCGTGCAGTCCAGCTCTTGCTCCTTTGTTTAGTTTCCTGTTAAATCTGATGCTGCTCCGAAGTTGGCAGCCATTAGGAGGCCTGCTGTGCTCCTTTTCCCCCACGGATATCTCATGTTCCTTGCAGCAGAGCTGGCTTCCCAGGAGATGCTTCAGGACATTGTGAAGGAAGCAGGGAAAGCAGTGATCTTCCCACTGCTGGCTTAGCACATGCTGCTGGCCTCCCCCCCCCCCCCCCGCCCTTTCTGAAGCACCCCTCCCCCATCTTAGGCATTGAAGGCAACTGGTTTGAGAAGAGATTGTCTTCTCAGATGGATTATCAGTGTCTCTCTTCTCATTGCTACACGGCAAATGCTTTTGATTAATTTGTAGTCAAGATTTATGTGGCAAACCTTGAACCACTTGTTTGATCAATTAATGAAAAGCTTTAAAACAAACGGAAGAAGATCACTTATTGAAATGGGTAGTACCCAGGAGCTCATCTGTCGCAAGCCAGGCCAGGAACAGTGTAGGGCACGCTTTCAGAGCGCAGAGTGAGTAAGGCAAGAGCACCAACTCAAGAAGCATAGTCCAGGTCCAGTTCAAGGTTATGCAGAGTCAGGAGTCTAGGCCATCCAGGGTCAGTCCATCCAGCAGGGTCTGAGAATCCAAAAGTTACTTACAGGCAGGTTCAGGAGCAAGACAAAGGCAGAGTCAGGAAACAATCCAGAGAGTCACAGGATTGAAGCAGGCTCCAATGTAGTGGTCAAAGGGATGTCAACTTGTTGCTTCCACACCTAACAGCCTCCTTTGGCTGGTTTTTATAGCCATATGCATAAGGGTCGTGCTTACAGCTAGCTGCTCCAGAGTAATCTTGCAACTACTCAAGCAGCTGGCGTCAGGCCAGGAGGCGTGCACGTTGCTGTCTCTCCTGTAGCTCTGTTCTTAGCCACTGTCACGCTCCAAGGGTGATACTGGAGGGCTGGAAACGACCAACTGAGTTCCACCTGTTAAATCAGGGCTGGAGGGTGTTGGTGGTTCTGCACCAGCTGTTGGTTTTGGATCCTGACAGGCCTGCAGCTCATCTTCCTGCTTGCCGGTTTCTGCCGGCTCAGAGCTGGCTACACGGGGGCTCCTCTTCTTCTGAGGAGTCCTTGCTCTTGCTGAGCCCTGACTGACCCACAACATTGTCTTATGCCACTTATGCAGCCTTCATATCTCATTAACCTTGCAATGTGTATTTAAGGTGGAGTTTTGGATATTGTCACATACTACTTAGGGAATTGCTACTTCGGATTTTTGTGTTTATCACATGAGAATTATATATACACGTTATATTTATGTGTAGTCAGTATTTTTGTTCTTACTTTGTAGAGGTCTTAAGCTGTGTAGTTGCTTTCTTACTGGCTGGTGTTTTTGTAGCGCCAGACTAGAGTCTGGGGGACCCAGCTTCAACCCCCCACTCTGCTGTTGAAGCTCACAGGGTGGTCTTGGTCCATTGACTGTCCTCCCAGCCTAACCCACCTCACAAGGAGATAAAATGGAGCAGGGGCAAATGATACAAGCTGTTTTGGGACACCTGGGGGGGGGGGAGTGGGGTGTAAATGTTAAATGTAACATTCCACTGTCGGTGTAATAATCACAGCAGCCACATCTGCACTACTCCATGAACATGCACCAGTTCCGCGCGAACATTGCCTCCATGCAAGAGCCATATGACTGCTTCCGAGGTAGTCTCTGTGTTGGTGCCCTCATAGATAGTGTGTCTCACTGTCTGCTCTGAATGTCACAGCTGCAGGGGAACTTGAAATGCTATTATCACAGGTGCAGGGCTTTTTCGGTAGCGGCCCCTACCTGGTGGAATGAGCTCCCAGGGGAGATCCGGGCCCTGCGGGATTTGATGCAGTTCCGCAGGGCCTGTAAGACGGCGCTCTTCCACCAGGCTTTCGAGTAGGGGCCGCTGCCCCCCCTATTGTGTTACCATCTTGGGGGGGATTGGAAGAGGTCCAGAGAAAGGCCCTGAGAAGATCTGGAACATCGTGACGCTGTCTCCTAGGAACTGTTTGGAACTGTCCCGCCATCTTGGGTTTTGAAGTCAGTTATCACCGAGCACTTTATGTGATATAGGATGGGTTTTAAATTGTATATAATGTTTTTATAATGCAGATATACTGTTAGTTTTGTATTGTTGTTTATATCTTGCCCTGTAAGCCGCCCTGAGCCCTACGGGGGAGGGCGGGGTACAAATTTGAATAATAAATAAATAAATTTATTTGGGACGCAGTTGACCCTTGTGATCAAATTGTTTCAGGAACAAAGCTCACTCAGGCCAAGAAATTCAACGATCCCGATGACCCTTGTAAAATCATGGTTGCCACAGATGCCATTGGAATGGGGCTCAATTTGTAAGTATCCTGGGTGAACTGAAAATTATACTCAAATGAGGCAGGTGGGAGGGGGGGTTCTCGGCTTTTTTAGGCTCTTCCTCTCAGTTACGCTTCTGCCACGGCCTTTCTGAATACTCACATGTCGTAGTTGAACATGCTGCTGACCCTGGGGTAGGAGTCCGAAGTAGGTGAACTTCATGAAGACTGACAGCCCAATGTTTTGTTTACTAACAATTGATAGCACAAACGTCCCTATGCCCACGGAACCTGCCCGTCAGGAAATGAAGCCCAGCACCCTTCTCGAGACCCCCAGTCTTCCTCCTGAAAAAGCCAACTCTGGACCCGACTGAATTGGCCAGCTATCGGCCGGTGTCCAATTTGCCCTATTTGGGCAAACTGATTGAGAGGGCGGTGGCGATGCAGTTACAGGGCTTTCTAGATGACGCTTCCATCCTTGATCCATTCCAGTCTGGCTTTCGCCCGGGGCATGGGACGGAGACTGTGCTGGTTGCCCTTACTGATGACCTCCGTAGACATCTGGATCG